TTTATCCCTGTCTACTGTCTTAGCCTTATCTCCTCAATACTACAATGAAATCAACTCCTTGTTGTTTCCTGCCTGTATGCTGTTTCCTCCACTAAATGTCTTTGTCTTCCTTCTCCATCCGTAAAATATTCTAGTCCTTCAAATCTCCACTTCTGAGAAAGATTTCCCTCAATTCTGCAAGCTGACAGCAATATCTCCTCCCTTTAAATCCACAGAAGTCTGTATATATTTTTTTAATTTTTTAAATATTTATTTATTTTTGAGAGAGACAGAGCGTAAGTGGAGGAGGGGTAGAGAGAGACAGAGACACAGAATTGAAGCGGGCTCCAGGCTCTGAGCTGTCAGCACAGAGCCCAATGCAGGGCTCGGACTCAACGAACCGTGGGATCTTGACCTGAGCCGAAGTTGGACGCTTACCCGATTGAGCCACCCAGGTGCCCCAAGTCTGTATATTTCTTAACAGACATAGTGATTTGTTAAAATGTCACATACCCTAATTTATTAATAAGCTTCCTGAGGGAAGGACTTGCTTACTCATATTCATATTTCCCATATTATGCAGCACAGCATATCTTGCTTCAAAGATACTGGATAGATATTTGTCAAGCAATCAATTAATCAAAATACATAAGTGCCAATTTTAGTACCGTCATTATGAATGGCTTCATCTAATAGGCTTTGCGAACGTCTCTATTACATTCAGCAGGGCCAAGCCTAGAGTCCATCCTGGAGGCAGGGTCGGTTTGGAAGGACTTGATGACATGGCACACGGAATCAGCCAAGGACACCCCCAGTGTGAATAAATAACTTGTTGGGTGCATCTGGCGGCAGCTGAGCTGCTGGCAACTTTTGTTTGGCGTGAAGAGCTTTCAGCCCAGCTCTCATTGTGGCACCTCGCTTCCATTATGTGTTGCCTCCTGTTTTGTTTATGTGAAAGACTACAGTCTTGTCTTAGAATTTCTGGGTATTATGAGTACCTTAGGGAAATCTGATTATAGAGATAATCTACTCAACAGTGAGGAGTTTCAATTTGTTTCTATTGAGTTTTGTCAATTCCGAATCCCAGATACCTTTGTCTTCCAGCCCATTGACTAGAGCCTCCCAGCCAGACGTTGAGGCATCTGTTTCTATAGTCTTCCGAACTGGGAAAGATAAATAAGAATGTGCGGGAATTATCTGTGTATTTGCTAACCACCAATTTAGATCTAAATAGACTCCCTCTGTTAGGAAGACTAATGAATTCCAATTCTCTGAAATATCCTTTGCTTTTAACAAGCAAGATGGAAGGTAGCTAAAGAAAAAAGAGAGGGAGAGAGAGAGAGAGAGATACACAGAGGGAAGAGCTGTGAATAATGCCACCAGAGAACCAATTATGTTCACCAGCTGGCATTGAGAAACTTGTTTCCTGTGACAAAAAAAAAAAAATTTCAGTTTTAGCCTCAGACTCCTTTTTGACATTGTGTTCTTTAGGGCTGAATGACAAATGCTCCCAGATACCCCCTAATATATTAGAAAAAAATTCTTCATACTTGTTACATGTAACATGACAGAGCAATGGGTGGGAACAGAAGGGCCAGCAGAGGCATCAATATGGCAGTCAATACGAATCGATGGGATAAAATGCTGGTCTCCCCAGCCACATAACTGACTTAGTGATACGTTCATGACTTGGCGAGACGGGGATTTAAAAAAACACTTGGTCAGGACATTTCATAGATGTAAGACTATATTTGTTGTGAAAGAAGAGTGAAAAAGCTGTGTTTTCCAGTAATACAAAGTGCATTTTGAACTTGGGTTATTTTTTCCCCTGTTTGTGATGGCAGCGAAACCCAGAACTGAGCCTTTATGTGTTTTAGTGGGGGACAGCCCAGATCTTAGAATGTCAGTAAATCAAAGCCCAGTTCTACAGTATGACAGTTCAGAGGAAGAAAGTCAGATGTAAATAATACTGACTTTAAAAACAGTATCTATTTCAGAATCTCTCAGCTGGTAAAACTTGGAAGGAAGCAGTGTCACCTCAAGGTTCATTCATGTTGTAGCATGTGCCAGAATTTCCTTCCTTTTTAAAGCTGAATAATATCACGTTGTATGCATATATCACATTTTGCTTATGCATTCCTCTTTGATTGACACTTGGGTTGCTTCCACCCCTTGGCTACTGTGAATAATGGTGCTGTGAACATGGGTGTACAAATAACTGAGTCTCTGCTTTCAATTCTTTTTGGATTTATACCAAAGAATGGAATTGCTAGACCATATGGTAATTCTATTTTTAATTTTTTAGGAGCTGCCACTGTTTTCCATAGCAGCTGTACCATTTTACATTCCCACCAATAGTGCACGAGGATGTCAATTTCTTTATATCCTCACCAACACTTATTTTATGTTTTTGTTTTGTTTTGTTTTAGTAGCCATCTAATGAGAGTGAAGCGGTATTTCACTGTGGTTTTGATTTGCATTTCCCTGACGGTTAGTGATTGTATTCGCCAGCGTGGACTGCCATAACAAAGACCATCAACTCTGTTTCCTACAGCTCCAGAGGCTGGGAAGTCCAAGATCAAAGTTCTAGCCAGTTAGGTTCCTGGTGAGAGCTCTTCCTGGCTTGCTAATGCCTGCCTTCTTCTCCATACCCACATGGAGGAGACAGAGAGATCATTCTCTCTACCTCTTCTTCTAAAGCCACCAATCCTGGTAGATAGTGCCCTCATTTAACCTTAGTTATCTTTTAAAAGTCCTGTCTCCAAATTTAGTCACATATGAATTTTGGAAGGACATAATTTGGTCCTTGGCAGTGATGTTGAGCTTCTTTTCATGTGCTTATTAGCCATTTGTATATCCACTTTGGAGAACTGTCTATTTAAATCCCTTGTCCATTTTTAAATGGGGTTATTGTTTTGTTTGGGTTTGTAGAAATTCTTTACGTATTCTGGATATTAACTCCTCATCAGGTGTATGATCTGCAGGTATCGTCTCCATTCTGAGGGTTGTCCTTTTAAAGGACAACCTTTTACTTCTTGATGGTGTCCTTTAAAGCGCGAAAGTTTTTCACTTTGATGAAGTCCCATTTACTTTTCCTTTGGCTGCATGTGGTTGTGGCCTCATATGCAAGAGACCATTGTCTGAGGAGTCAGAGTCATGAAGATTTACTCCTATGTTTGCTTCTAAGAGTTTTACGGTTTTAGCCATTATGTTTAGGTTTATGTTAATTTTGAGTTAATGTTTGTACATGGTGTGAGATATCCCTCTTAGTTCCTAAGACCATAGTAGTTTTAGAATGCTCATTACTAGAACAGATATGAAAAAAATTGGTAAGGAGTGTTTTGTTTTTTGTTTTGTGGTTTTTCTTTTCTTTTCTTTTCTTTTTTTGGTTGTTATTTTTTTTTCAACGTTTAGTTATTTTTGGGACAGGGAGAGACAGAGCATGAACGGGGGAGGGTCAGAGAGAGAGGGAGACAGAGAATCGGAAACAGGCTCCAGGCTCTGAGCCATCAGCCCAGAGCCTGACGCGGGGCTCGAACTCACAGACCACAAGATCGTGACCTGGCTGAAGTCGGACGCTTAACCGACTGTGCCACCCAGGCGCCCCTTTTTTTGGTTGTTATTCTTAAGGGTCTTCTCCAAAACAATTACTTATTGCAGACATGGGTAAATCACATCTACTTATATCATCACAAATATACTTCATTTACATTAAGCTCATTCAGTCTGATAACCAGAGAAATCCAAACATCAGGTAACCTAACAGGAATGGCTGCCAGTAGCGGTTGAGATTAACAGTCGTTGAAATGTTGTGAATAATATCTCGATGACAAATAAAAGCTTGGCCTCATCTTTGTACCCAGAATTGGCTAAGACTACATGTCATTTTTAATTTTGATTAATGGCAGAGTAACTAATTAGGGTGGGAAAGGGATTAGAAAATCATTCAAGATGTCGGTGTAGTCCTCGTGCCATTTTGTCATGGATGCTATAGTCAAGTTCACAGTGACAGGCACATGTAATAACTAGGAGCTGAGAATAGTCAGATTTGAAGAGTCAAGGCAGTGCTTTTAAAATCAGCATTTTTAGTTAGATTTGATTTTCTTTTTCTGAATGATTATGCTGTTGAATTGGGCTTTGATTTATTGACATTCTGAGATTTGGCACAGATTTTCTTTTTGCTTTGCAGGATGCACAGAATCAAAAATTAAAGACCAGTATATTGTACTATGAGGTAAGTGCTGTTTCCTTCCATGCATACTGGACTCCTGATTTCTATAGTGGTGCCTGGGTGGCTCAGCCAGTTAAGTGTCCGACTTTGGCTCAGGTCATATCTCGTGGTTCATGAATTCGAACCCTGCATCGGGCTCTCTGCTGACAGCTCAGAGCCTGGAGCCTGCTCCTCATTTTGTGTCTCCTCTCTCTGCTCCTTCCCCACTAGCACTCTGTCTCTATCTCTCTCTCTCAAGAATAAATAAACATTAAAAAAAATTTAAATCTGTTGCAAAATATAATTATTCTAAGGAATAGATATTTTCTTTGTGTTTGCAATTTAGTTTCTTAGACCTGCAGCAGATCTAATTTATTAGAATCTGTGTAAGATATATGGCCATGGTTTCTGGTTGGGGCACCATCTTTAGGGGTTAGGAGGGAAGTCCTCTCCCCTAACAGTACCAGCAAGCAGATCAGTTGGGTTATTCATCCAAATCCTTCTTCAGTTCTTTGGGGAAATTGACATTGCCCCTTTTTGATACATTTCTTTTCTAGCTCCTCCTAACAGGTTTGGGATGATGAATTTTTTTTTTTTAATTTTTTTTTCAACATTTATTTATTTTTGGGACAGAGAGAGACAGAGCATGAACGGGGGAGGGGCAGAGAGAGAGGGAGACACAGAATCGGAAACAGGCTCCAGGCTCTGAGCCATCAGCCCAGAGCCTGACGCGGGGCTCGAACTCACGGACCGCGAGATCGTGACCTGGCTGAAGTCAGACGCTTAACTGACTGCGCCATCCAGGCGCCCCGGGATGATGAATTTTTATCCTGGAGCCCCACCATGTTTGATGGGATCAGGGAGATCTCTCTACCTCTAAGCGCCATCTGGGCCCCTGATATCATCATTAGTGAGTTGTAAGTGTGCTGGGGTGTATTTCTACGGGGCTTAAACTGCTTGGACTATTTATGCCAGTTGTCACTTTCAGTCACTGTTGCTGTCTTTTGTTTCTTAACCTAAAGAGGATCATAGTGTTGGGAATATTCCAGGTAGAAGTACTATGAGTTGACATCATTTAAGATACAGATTTAATTACAAATGCTTGAGGTTACTCATGGGTTATGTCCGTTGCAAAAGTAGCAAGTGAATTATCTTTTGAGGCTGTCATTACTGAATCCATCTTTGCCAGAGTAAATGACGTCATGGGAAATGTGATTCTGTCTTTTCACTTCTAGACTAGTCCTGAGTATCACAGCCACTACCATCTCATAATCAGTTCTGTTCATGTATTGAAATGACTAAGGCCTTCTCTGTAACAGCGAGGTCTTCTTGTGTTTCATATAGTGTGGACATTGAATGATCACCCGGCCTCCCCTATGTCTATGTGAACTCATCTGGGACCATTAAGAATGCTAAGCCTATCCAGGTGGTTTCCACATGCAATTTAGAGACATAACGCTTTTCCATTTGATATGCAGAACTGCAGCCTAACTTTCAGTAGCATCCTGCACACGGGTAAACCGTGAGCGGCATAGTCTGCCAATGGGAAAATACTCTTGTGCTGGGTTGGCGCACTTAGGTGAAATTATATCATGCTGTCTGTGAGGTTTATTTTGTTCTTGCACATAGTTTTTACAAATCGAAATCTTTTCTTACAGCTATTTGGCTACCATTGTAATTTGGACTGAGTACAGTGTTGTGCCCAGATATATTGCTCACTGCTGCTCTAGGTTTGGGAATACAGTATTAGGCCTCCTCTGCCACTGAGAAGGTTATAGAAGTGGTAGGACCAGGTCCATCATTCTATGGATAATGGAGTGCAAACTATAAATTCACAGTTGGTTGTTTTGTTGTTTTTTTTTTTTTCACTGAGAGGGAGACTCTATTCCACATCCCTATCCCTAATTCAAAATGGTTGTGCTGAGCCCCATCTCAGTAAGACTGTACATGTGGGGGCAAGAGTGAAAGGAATAATTTGAGTTGGGAGTTGGAAAAGCGGGTGGTTATTGGGGCCTCTGTGTGTGGGGAAGTCCATTGTTTCTCTTGTTGTCAGTGGAAGATGTAGACCTGGCCTTCCGAGGAGCAGAGAAGACATTAAGCATGACAAAAAGGAATTTTTGAAGGACAGTGAGTGGGAGCTTCTTTCTGTGTCCTCAACATACAACATCCTGCAGAGCAACACTGGAGATTTTGCACAGATTCAGTTTAACGTAGGTCCTTCCTGTTCCTGTTGCCTACTTCTCTGCAGTCGCAAGCCTTCTCTGCTGGGCTCAAGGATCTCTGCTCTGTCGTGTATTCTCATTCTTTATCATCATCCAAAAACTGATGATTCAGGTGGCTCTGGAAGCCCCTTGCATTACAGCATTTCACAGACCGGAGATTCAGTCCCAGATCCTGGACTCCTACTGTAAGGATTCCATATGTGAGTAAAAAGAGAAGGGTTTCAGGCACCTGAACCACCCACCTTAGCAGGCATCCTCAAGCCTTTCAGGGCATACTAACATCCCCACTCCCAATTGCTGCTGAGAGGAGGGGGAAACAAAAAAAAAGAAAAGAAAGAAAACCCACATGCAGCAACAACAACAGAGTGGGAGAAGAGTGTCTCTTTAACGTTACTGTCCTGTTTTTAACTGAGTAAATTATTAATTAATTCCAGAAACAAATGCATAAAGCTATCATTAATTTGACTGTCTTGAGCAATTAGCTAACAAATCACCTACAGGATCCTCAGAGACTCCTGGTGGTTTCTGGATCAGAGAGAACAGCTGCTCTAAAGGGATTCGATGAGAACCCAAGCTTCTCGGAAGCACCACCAGGATGCTCTTGGCTGCATTGTCATGGGACAGTTTGTTCAGCAGGAGCCTGAGGGGTGGGGTGCAGGACAGCGAAACTGCTGTTTTGCACTCCAGAAGCAGCCATTCTCCCTTCCCTGGCCCTTCTGGCAAACTGTCCTGATAAGTGGTTTGTAGCAAGTTCATGCAACTGGTAGATACGCTGTCAGTATTCACTTCTGCTTTTCTGCACAAAGTCAGCTAATAGTGTTGATAGCTGGGTGGGGAGGAGTTCTTCATGCCAGGTAATGTCTGTGATTGACAAATAGAGACTACAGGCAGGTCAGGATGACACACGAGATGAATTCTCTTGGAAACAATCCTTTTGGATAAGAAGGAAAATTCAGACTAGCCTAGGTGCTATGGTTATGCTGGATAATCATACGCTAAGAGAGGGTGGTATTGAAATAAGCTATTATTGAGGGCACAGATGCCCCTCCATTGGTCAAAAGACGTTCCATGCAGCTTTCCAGCAAAGCTCTGGTTAAATCAGGGCCTCCTAGAAATAGCTGTGGCTTGAACGTGACTAATGTATAACTAACTCATCACAACTCATACCTTCCTGGTGGTGGAGTCTGGGTGTTTGCCTGTTCTGCTTGGTTTTTAGCAAAGCTGGCGTCGTGGCTTATTTGTCCACTTTTTTTTTTTTTTTTTAAGTGAGAGAAAGGGAGGGGAAAAAAGAAAGCTTTTTTAATTTCAATGAGTTTCTTGGCTAAGAGTAAACACCTCATTAATTTTAAAGATATCAGCCCACAAACATTATTAATGCAGCCCGAATAATGGCGAGCATTAAAGGGAAATGTGAGGGAGGAGCACGTGCGAGGTGGAACACAGTCACCTACCAAGCGCTCCGGAGAACGCTGCACACACCATTACCTACACTGCACGAAGGAGACAAACAAAGGCAAGAGGCAGGGCCGATAAACAGGAGTGCGCACGCACACACGCACACACACATACACTCACACTCTTTCCATAAAGCAGCCATTATTTGTAGTTACACGTCACCCTTTACCCTGAATATTAATTTGTCTTCCCAGTCGTGGCGAAAGGCTTTCTATGTAGTATGTCCGTTTTTAAATATGATGGACAGAGGCGTAAAACAGTGCTTACAGAAGGAGAAGCTTCCCTGTGTCTCGGGAACAGTGATCCCATCCCTTTGCTCTGTTCACCGCCATGCTTCCTCTGCATTTACAGTGTTTACATTGAGGTATGCCAGAGGTGGGCATCGACAGCACTGTATGCTTTTGGAGCTGTTTCCTGCGTCTCTTTGCCCTGGGGGCTGCTTTCCACCCTCGCCCTCTGGAACAGAGTAGGGAGAGAACCCTGAGTAGTCATAGATCATGTTTCATAGGCAGGGAGCCATGCCCAGAAGCAGTTATACAACTTTGGAAAGACTTAAAGTAGATTCAGTGGCTATCCTAGGTCTCTTGTCTCCCTTGGCCTCTCTCAGCCCCCATACCTCCGCACACCTGCTATGTGCCCTGATGGGTTCATGATCTCTTACTCCATACCAGTCATCCTGCTCTGAAGTTAACAACTGAGGCATCCTGGTGACCTTCGGAAGCCTTTGGGCAATGACGTGAAATTGAGAGCCCGGTTCTTTGCCAGCACTGGTCTGCCAGGGTCCTGACAGCAAAGGGCCATCTCCCTCCTGATCTAATCACCTGCATTGTCCCTGTCCAGGCTGCCCAGTGCAGGGGTGGAGACAAGTGGAGCAGACAGGAGGAAAGATGATCTAAATATCTTGTCCCTCTGGGCCTGATGTACATTGCTGCCATTACTACTAAATCAAGTGCTCAGGATTCCTGGTTAGCTCGAGCTAATGTGCAGTCATATCTGCTGGCTCTAGAACACGTATTGTTTATCAGAGGGCACTGCTAACACATTGGAGTCAGGCTACATTCCACAGCGGGCTCAGAGCATGGGCACCTTTTGCCTACAAGGAGGTCTGTGTGCAGCCTGGCACCTGCTCCAACAGCCATAGGAGGAAAGATTCCCTCCAATACATTATCGGACATGCTGCTTCCAGAAACAGAAGGGTGAGCATTCCATGTCTACGTGGCAGCTTTTTGTTTTTTTGTTGTTTAAAAAAAAAAAAAAAAAAAACGAGGGTAGAAGTGGGAGGAGGTAGGAATAAAATGTGAGAATTCATTTTGGATGGAAAAGGGTGGACAGCTGTTGGAAGAACTAAAGTGAGCCCAACACGCACATATACTCACAATGAGTGAGATGTTCATGCAGGCAGGGCTGGGAGCCTTCCCGGGCACCCCTGGAAAAATGCAGAGGGGCAATTGAGAAAGCAAGGTGCCCCATCTTTTCCTCTTTTTCTGGCATAGTTTTCTTTTATAGATTAGGTTAGAGTAGTTTTGTTGAGATATCCATTGAATGCAGCTCATGAACTTGAGAGAGGTTCCTTCTGAACTCCACCAGATCGGGAGGGGAGTGAGAGAATGAGAATTTAGAGCCCTAGAAATCATTCCAGGGTCACTCAAGCACCCTGACATCATGGACTTTGTGCTAACCCAGCCTGACCCATGGTCCAGATCCAACTCTGAGTCCGGAAGCTCTCGCTCCTGTGCAGGGATCTTACTTAAATGGCAGCAACTTTCCCATTCTTTCTGAATTGGGAATGGTGGGAGGGGCTTGGGAGAGGAGGAAAATGGGCTTCTGTATGAAGCGTGAGTCTGGGCGTCAAAAATTCCAGCTATGTCATAAAGACGGTCATGCAAAATTGAGTACTGGTGGGGTCTACCATCAAGGAGGCAATTAGAGGCTAACCTTGGGGCCTATTCCATCTCCAAGGAGCTCTCCACACACACATTCTGAATTAGATTGATCTCTTTCATTAACATCAATAGGCTCCAAATACCTTTGTGTACTTATTATTACCTGGCTTTAATGGATAATGAAATTGTGGCATAATATTGCTAACACCTGAAGGGTGTCTAATGGAGAACACGGACTGAAACTAAAGTGCTTTTTCTTCCCTTTCTGTGGAATTTAAAGGCACCAGCTCCTTTAGTCCATTAGAAATGATGGGCTCTAGGTAGGGGCAGTTCCACGGAGAGTGGTCTCACTGAGCTGGTGACATCCCTTCCCCCCCTAGCATCAGCCATCAGCTGGAGTCCCTTACTGTCTCTGGAATGACCCGCCGAGAGGTAGCCCTCAGGGGATGGATCTCAATAGGAGAAGCCCTATCTGTGATAACTCCATGCTCCCACCTTCTTGGAACTAAAAGTAACATTACTAATAAGACTCCAGTACAACGCAACGAACATCTCTTGAGCCCTTATCATGTGCCAGGCTCAGTGGCCCCACTGAGGACACAAGCATGGGTAAAGAGGGGCTTCTGCTATCCATCATGGGCCTGGGATGTTGCCCAGGGAGACATTGTGACAATGACCACAAAACCCAGCATTTACTTGACCCTGGGCACCATTTTAAGTTGCACATGTAATCCTCACATCTCTATGAGTTGGGTACTCTGAGTATCTGCATTTTTACAAATGGATGGATCGGGGTACAGAGAAGTTAACTTGCCCAAGTTTAAGTAACTTGCCCAAGGTTACAGGGTAACTGTGGAGCCTGACTTTGAGCCCCCAGTCAGTCTGACTCCAGAGACTATGTGCTAATCCTCTTTGATGTTGACATGCAACTCGGCTTGACATGGTCTATTCTAGTCCATTCTTTGGCGTTCATCCAACTGTGTGTTACTGGGCAAGTAACCTGTGCTCGTTTCCTAGGGCTTCCATAACAAAGTACCACAAACTGGGTGGCTTAAAACAACAGAAATTCATTCTTTCAGCTCTGGAGGCTGGAAATCAGGGTGTGAGCATGATTACTTCCTTCTGGGAGCTCCAGAAACCATCTGTTCCGTGCCTCTCTCTTAGCTTTTGGTGGCTGACAGCAACCCTGGGCTTGTAGGTATATCAGTCCAGGATCTGCCTCCACCCTCATGTGGCATTCTCCTTTGTGCGTCTCTCTTCTTCTCATAAGGACCCCAGTTGTGTTGGCCCACCCCACTGCAGTCAGCCCTCATCTTAACCAATTATATGTGCGGTGATCCCATTTCCAAATAAGGTCACATTCTTACCTTCCAAGAAGGACATTATTCAACCTGGACAGTCCACTACCCTCTCTGGCTCCCCCAAATTCATGTCCATCACCTATGCAAAATATCCACCCTCTCCCAACATCCCTAAATGTCTTACCCCATTTCAGCATCAACTCTGAGACCAAAATAACATCTAAATATAAACTCAGAAAGTCCCAAATCACATCGTCTAAATCAGGTACAGACTCTGGATATGGTCCATTCTGGGGCAAATTCCCTTTCCATCTTCAGAGTCTGGTTGCTGATCCCCTGGGATGGGCAGAAACCTGTCCTATTAACTCTTCTAATTCCAGTATTTAAAAAAAGTGTCTGACGCTGCGTTTATGGTCAGTTAATGTTCCTTCAACAAGAGAGTAAAGAGATTTGAAGATCAAATGAGATCATGAAAACAAACCATTTCTGAAAACTGTGATAAAATTAGAATTTCTTTAGGCTGCACTGGGCTTGCAGAGAAAATTAGTCCATAAGTACATTGCTCCTAAATCAACCTGAAGAAAAAGGAAGTCCCCTTGTTCTTGAAGAAAACCAAAGAGGGGGCCTATGTAGCTTTATAGTGTTATAAGCCAAACATAGGTGGCAGGATTTCTGCTTTATGTTACAGGACAGCTAATTGTCTGCCTTGTAGCCGCCATGTTTCCCTTGCACTTCCGGCTGCTGGCACTATCCAGTGACAGATATTCTCCTGACAGGACTGGGTACATTCTTGGTGGGGTCCGGTGCAAAGGGAAAATGTGGGACCCCCTGTTCATAAATTACGAGTTTCAAAATGGCACCAGCAGAGCCTGAAACCAAACAAGCCCTTGTAAGTGCCAGGACCCGGGAAGTTTCCCAAGCCTCATGCCCATGAAGCCCGCCTACCTCGCAGCCTCTTGGCCCCTGCCACACCTCTCCCCTGGCACTGTGGGGGACACATGGTCTGACAAAACTGAGGAGCCGTCTTTGGTTCTGACCCAGATTTATGTTCACTCTCTGCACCAGCCTCTGGGTGGAGAGGAACCATCTCAGCATGTGTTATTTACACAGGGGCTTTATTTAAAGAGACAACAGCCAATCTCAAATGTACCCAACATGTTCAGCAAGCAAAAGTGAAGTGCATTTTTAAAAAAAAAGGAAAATTAGGGGGCACCGGGTGGCTGAGTCGGTTAAGCATCAGACTCTTGATTTCAGCTCGGGTCATGATCTCACAGTACGTCGGTTTAAACCCTGCCTCAGGGTCTGTGCTGGCAGCACAGAGCCTGCTTGGGATTCTTTCTCCTCTCTCTTTATCCCTCCTCTCCCCTTCTCTCTCAAAATAAACAAACATAAAAAAAAAAAGAAAAGAAAAGAAAATCAAGGCATGCACCTGGGAGCACTTAAACTAGGACATGTAGGCACTTAGAATCCAGGGACTCTGCAACTCTATTCCCTTGACTCTAAGCCTAGGCTCTTCCTGCTTAGGCAGCTGCCTACTTGTACTTCCTTTAGGGCAGGGTTCTTACACTTACTGTTCATGTCGTATCTGCCATGAGGTCTGGGGGGGCGGAGGTGGTCTTCCCACTTCTACCCTCTAGCGACAGCAGGCTTGGTTGCCCCCCACCACCCCACATAGCCCAGGTCAGGCCCACAGCACAAGACCCGTGTGGACTCTGACCATGTGGCTCCCTTTCTGTGGCTCCCTTCCTACGGCCCCCAGCTAACCACTGCCTGGTGGGTCATGTCACAGCATGACCAAGAGAGCTGGAGACACACGGGTTGGTGACAGTTCATTTTGTTGTGGTTTTTCTTGTAGACTGTGCTTTGGTAGAAATGTGTTTTAACCAAATCATTACAAAGCATGAGTGTGGCTCTCATTTAGATATCTGCAGCCCATTATGCTTCATGTGAAAGACAACAGCCAGACTGCAATCCTCCAAATGGCTCCGGCCTACCAAGCTCCAATGAGTCGGGATATGCTCCCAGACCCAAAGGCTGGGGGACCCCTGTTATCTCCTGCAAGGTGGTAGGTATCTGGTCTCCCCCAGCCAAGCTCTTCCCCACCTCCGTCTCCTCCATTCCCGTCCTCTGCCTTGGCTTTCAGGTATCATTTCCTTGCCACCCCCCTCCTCCAAATCCAACAGCAAAGAGCTCAGAACATGCATTTGTTTGGCAAACTGATTGAACACCCATCATAAGCTAGGTATTATCTTTGGCCCCATGAGGAATGTTTTAAAGGTTGCTGCTTTTGCCCCCAAAGGGTCACAGAAAGCAGTCCTATCGTTCCCTGATGAAAATAGTTTGTGTTTATTAAAGACACTTCCTGTCACCGCCCCCAGAGAAGCGAGGTCTACAAAAATGGCAATGATAGAGCAACTTTCTGAGTCTCAAATTCCCAGCTACACAGCCCCGGCAGGAGCTCCGGATGCTCAGCCATCCTGCGGGGTGTCTTCAGTTATCTCCCCAACTTAGACCCACTTCGCCCCTTCTCCTCCTGCTCTGTGCCCCTGGAGACGAGCCACGGTCTCTCTGACCAATAGGAAGAGGGGATGGAGTGGCAGGAGATTGGAGAGAAGGGGAGAGTGAGGAGGGTGCAGATGAGCACTCCATTTTTCTCCCGGTGGAGTCACGTTACCACGAGGCTGGCTGTGCCCCTAAGGGGAAGCCACAGCTCCTGCTTGGTGGCCTTCTCCACCCAGCTTTCTCTCAGATTCTGTTCACATTCTCAGCCCTTGCCCCCTTCAGGACTAAGGACAGAAGCAGCTCACCCAGTCCTCCCAAATATCTGGGGCACTGCCCCCCTTCTTGTGGTTTCCCTCTGCCCTGCTCCTTGTAAACGGTCTCCTTGCCAAGCGCTCCACAGATTTCCCAGTGGTGCTATTTGTTCCTGCCCAGACTCTGACACATACACAGGTGCTAAGGTACTCACGTTCCACATAGGAAGACAGGCTAAACCAAAAATAGTACAAGATGTTGCCTACACGCTGTCCGAAGAAAAATGTTGGTGTGAGACCTCAATTTAAAACAGCTTCTCACTCACCAGCTGTGTAAGTTTGAAAAAGAAATTTAATGTCTGTGTACCTCGGTTTCTTTGTCTGGAGATGATAATACCCAGCCTTTAGTGTTGGTGTGAGGGTTGAATAAGAGCATAGGAAACACAGCCCAGTGCCTGGCATACAGCAAGTGGTAAATAAATAGAGGCTTCTTCTTATAATTATTAATAATATTAATACAAGTTCTACATGAAAGCTTAAAGGTTTTTTTTTTTTTTCTATTTTCTAAAACACAAAATAATCTCCATTCTTGAAACTACATAGTCATTTCACATTATGTAGAACTGTTGGGACTTCGGGGATCTCTTGGCCGTGGGTTTGGCCAAACATTAGTCCATCAGCTTATACCCTGTCTTCAGTAGACTCCATGGCCCCGGCCAGGTGGTGATTCGCAGGCGCCCACTGGTCTACGTCATGAGCCTGCTGATTCCCAGCATCTTCCTCGTGCTCGTGGATCTGGGAAGCTTTTACCTGCCACCCACCTGTTGAGCCAGGATTGTGTTCAAGACCAATGTGCTGGTGGGCTACACCGTCTTCAGGGTCAACATGTCTGATGAGATGCCAAGGAGCGCAGTGAGCACCCCTCTGATTGGTAAGCAGCTTTGGGGACACCAGACCTCCATGTTACAGACTCCCATCAGAGATGAGATGCTGCATTTCAGACAGGGGGCGCTGGGGGAGGGAGAGGCTCCAGAGACTCTAGCTGATGCCACCTCATTTGGTTCCTTCCACCAGGAGTCTTCTTCACAATTTGCCTGGCCTTCTTGGTTCTCGGCTTATTTAAGTCCATCCTATTGGTCACATTCCTCCATGATGAGTGCTGCAGGGAGCAAGAGTGGCCCCTCTCATGCCTTCAAGGGGACATTGACGCTGACGGGCCTAGAAGAGATCCCCAAGCCCAGCCTGCTGGGGTGACAGGTTTGTGAGAAGCCTCAAGGCCCTTACCCTATCTTGCTTTATCACTCTCCACCCTAGTTTCCGTTGGTGGAGCACCAGGCCGGTGTCCCGCTGGTTGAAAAGTGTGAAACACTTGCTTCTTAACCTCTGTGCTGCATCTGATATTACGGCTCTGGAGATCGAAGGCTGTCTACCACCTGCTGGCTTTCCAGAAGGCCTCCTTTTAGCTTAGAGGTCAGGCCCTCATTTGGCTTTCCTTGTTTTTGTTTGTGTTTTCCATTGCTTCTCGGCCTTTTGGCTGAGATCAAGTGTTTGTGTTTTCCAGTTTTAACCAGTACCTAAAGTGACTGAGCCTCTGACTCTAGAATAATAGAGCATACATGCACAGTTTGTATGTATTTGGGTTCCTATCACTTAATCTGAAAAAGTGTATGAATGATCTCAGAGCTCACTTTGGCCCCACATATACTAAAACTGGAACAATACAGAGGTTAGCATGGCCCCATGCGAAGATGATATACCAACTTATGAGGCTATTTTTACTGTTCGCTTGAAAGTTGCTAGGTGGGGCACCTGGGTGGCTCAGTCGGTTAAGCATCTGACTTCAGCTCAGGTCATGATCTCACAGTTTGTGAGTTTGAGCCCCGCGTCGGGCTCTGTGCTGACAGCTTGGAGCCTGGAGCCTCCTTTGGATTCTGTGTCTTCCTCTCTCTACCCCTCCCCTGCTTGCACTCTGTCTCGGTCTCTCTCAAAAATAATAAACACTTAAAAAAAATTAAAAAGAAAGTTGCTAGAGAGAGTATACCCTAAAAGCTCTGATCGTGAGAAAAAAAATATGTGACTATGCATGGTGATGGATGTCAACCAGACTTGCTCTGGTCATCATTTTGATATAAATATCTCAAATTACTATGCTGTACACCTGAAACTAATATGTTATATGTAAATTATATCTCAATTAAACAAAAAAGAATCATCCCAGCCTCTAAAACTCCAACTGAGTCAGTGGGGCTGGCCCCTCCCTCTCTCAGGAAACCTCCTGGGTAGATCCAGCCTAGATAGCCTTCCTCACAACACAGCTCTGCCGTGTTCTCCAGGGCTTCTTTCAGCACAGCCTCACTTGCCCTGAGCAGGCAGGAGAGAGTCCCCAACCCAATCCACTGCCCTATACCCCCTACAGACCTTCCTTGTAGTATGAGGCCGTCAGCTCCAGTGGGAAGTCCAGGGGCCACAGAAGCCCATTCTCCCCTCTCATGCAGAGCCCTCGGTCTGTCGAGAACACCAGGCCGAGTCAGAGACCCTGAAGGAAGTCTCGTTCCAGCTTAAGTCCATCAGCACCTACTTCTAAACCTGGGACCAGGAGGACCGACAAGAGGTTAAGTGGCTGGCCTTCCTGGAACATTTTGACCGACTGCTCTTTAAAGCGTGCCTCGTCGTGCTGGGGCTCTATGCCGTGAGCCTGTGCTCCCTCTGGGCGCTGGGGAGCAGCTTGTGAAGACTGGAGGCTGTTGGTCTCACCCAACATTCGCTTTCTCGGTACTTGGGGAAGGTTGCAAAGTTTTGTGGGGAGGTTGGAGGGGGGCATGGCAGGTTAAAAAGCTCCCCTCTTGCTGCCTGTTTTCATTCAGTGCAGGTACTCACACCTAATGAGGTACTGAATGGCCCAGGGCTAGTGCATTCATGGCGAACATGTCTGGCCATCTCCAGGTACACAGTGAAAAGGAAGCCCGCCTTCTCATTCCGTGCTACTCCCCAAAGGTGACACCATTAGTCATCTCTTTCAGAAACTTTCTAGGTACATACATACTTGTATGTTTTCGGGTGTTTGTTTGTTTGTTTGTTTGTTTTTGTTTTTAGTGTAAGATTCCTTCATCTCTCTGTTTTATCTTAGTCACTCAGGCAGCCGTTCAAAACCTTTACCGAGTATCAGTTAAGTCCTAAGCATTATGTTAGGACATGAGAGAACACAGAATAAGCCAGTCACAGATCATTCTTCACTGGAATGATTCCCGAGGTCAACCTTGTACAAAGCAGAATGGAAAATTGTCATCATGTCTGTATCCTGAAGCTCTTGTTCCCACTGGCTCCAACGAGCGCCTCTTCCCCGGTACCTCACCACAGTTGGACAGAAGCCGGGCTCCAAACCTTCCAGACCCAATCTAGCACAACCTGTAGTCAACGCAGACCATGTATAAGGCACTGAGCTGGGGGATGGGCTTCATGCATGCCCCTTGGGTTCAAGGAGATTATCATCTACTCTCCCTGTAGAATCAGCTAGGGCCGCCATAACAAAACACCACAGACTTTGTGGCTTAAACAGAAATTTATTTTCTCCCTGCTCTGGAGGCTGGAACTTTTCTTTGAGGCCTCTCTCCTTGACCCATAGATGGCTGTCTTCTCCCCGTGTCCTCAATGGTCTTTCCTCTGCATGTACATGTCTGTGTCCAAATTTCCTCTTCTTATAAGGACACCAATTATGTTGGATTAGGGCGTACCTTAACAACCTCATTTAACCTGAATGGCCTTTTTAAGGGCCCTGCCTCCACATACACATGCTGAGGTACAGGGCGTTAGGACTTCACCGTATGAATTTGGGGGGCAGGGTGAACACAATTCAGTCTGTAGCACTCACATGATGGTGGACGCTTGGCAAGTCAAAACTCTGCACGTAAGCTGGAAGGCCAGGACCCAGGGAATAGTTGTAGTCTGAGTCCAAACTCAACTATTTGGGAGGTGTCTGCTGGCAGAGTTCCCACTTTTTCCAGGGGCGTCAGTGTTCTGCTGAGGCGTTCAACTGACTGGGTGAGGCCCACCTGTACTCTGGAGGGTACTCTATTTCACCCAAGTCGACTGATTTAAATGTTAACCTCCCCTAAAGAATACCTTCACGGAAACACCTAGGGTAATGTTTGACCAGACATCTGGGTCCTATGGCCTAGCCAAGTTAACACACAAAACTAACCATCACAGTCCCAATGACCCCTTCGCCTCCCATCTCTGCCCACAGTTACTTGTCCGGACAGAAGAGCCCTGAGCACATGGAACTGGGGTAACTGGTCAACTTCTGGCTCTTACTCTCCAGTGGCCCAGTCTGCCATGAGTATAGCTCACCTTCTGGCAGTTCCATGGCCTCACAACCTGAATTCTAAGGTGGAAGTTCAGGTCTTCCACAAAATTTCCTTCCTCCCGTTTTGACTTTCTTCATTTCTCATGGCTTCTTATTACAGTCTTCTGTCTAGCCAGACTAACCTGCCTGCCATTTCCGTCCAAGCCTCTACTGTGAGTTGACATATTCTTTTGTTTCTCCAGTCTGTGTGCCATTGCGTCTGAGGAGCCTGCTCAAAACAGCCTCCCTCACCTTCTTCCCCTGAGCACCTCGTGACGGTCCCCTTTCTCTATCTTTACCCTTACCTTATTCTGTGTCCTTCCCCCTTTGAACATTTTAGGGCCTTGTGTGTGTGTGCATGTTTGGTGTGTGCACGTGTGTGTGTGTGTACATAGGTGTGTGGTGTGGTATATGTGTACAGGTGTGTGGGTGTGTACATATGTGGGATGTGGGGTGTGTGTACACATGTGTATGTGTGGTGTGTGCACACGTGTGGGTGTGTATACGTGTGTGTACATCGGTATATGGTGTGTGTGTGTGCGTGCGCACGTATGTATGTGTGGTGTCTGTGGTATACATGTGTGTGCACATCACTCATCACACAGACCACATGCTCCTAGAATAGCCATCCCGTTTTCTAGTTCCAGTTTATCCCCATCTCGGCCCGGGTCCACACAGAGCTTTGCTCATGGCGATTCTGCGCTAATTGTTGCAGAGCAACGCATTCTAGCTCGCTGCTGACATTGGACACATTTCGAGTGTGTTTTTCCAGGTCTGAGGGGGAAAATCTACCCGGGGTCAGACTCCCAGCCCCTCGGCATCCCTCTGCCCTCCGCCAGGGCAGCCATCGGGAGGTTGGCGGGCAGACCACGGTTGGCCGAGAGTCAACTCTCCTAACACTGCCAGCAGAGGACACGAAAGTCCAAAGCTGTTTGCTAGGAACTTTTTGCGGCACTAAAATTGTCTTTTAAAAACCCTGCTCCCCCATCCCCCTAAAGAAAAAGAATTTAAATTCAAACAGCCTTTACCTGCATCCTCCCTCTCTCATTACCTCCCAGTTAGTGCTCAACGCCAATTGTCCATGAAATTCCGCTGCTGCTGTTAATGAAATGAGGAACATAAGAAGTTTGTGAACAGGAAGTGTCCGTGCAAACCTCCACCTGTTTCCCTCCTCACTTCCTCCTCTGCCTCCGCCTGCTCAGTTAGCTTCTCGATCGATCCCTAGATGTCTCTTCACTTTCTCCACTGTCACGGGGGAAACGGCTTGCAGTGAACTCCCCGCTATGTTGTCTCCTTCCTTTCCAGTTGTCCTTGGGGAAAGCGTCTGGTTTTGGTCCCAGCTCCATCACTGTCCAACCAGGAGACCTTGAGCGTGATTTCTCAGAGCTTCGACTATGCGACACAGGTTGCTTATACTTACTCCACCAAATCACAGAACTTTGAGGATTGGAATGAAGCAATGTATTTAACAGCACTTTAAAAAGTAACTAATGCATCACAAAATAAAAATAAGACCTGCCTGCTGTCCACAGATGGACTGTACTCTTCAGGCTTTGGTGTGAGGTCTTTCTTCCTCTGCCTCGATCAGAATCCACTTACGAGCTCTGGCTCTCCCCAGAAGTGCCTTTATTCCAGGATCCAAGGGCCAAAGCCTGAAGCCATCACCTGCCTTCTGGCCAGGGACTTGGGTGGTGGGGCTGCCCAAGGGACGTCCCATTCCACTTTCCATGCAGCCTTCTTTCACTTCCTCCCTAGAGAGCATCTCCTCGGTCCTCCTCCAAGAGGCAGCCTTTCAGGAGCGAGGCCTGACCACTAAGCTGGGCCCCAGTGTGGACCACCTCCGTCCAAGTGCCAAGGGGCCCTGATCTCAATGTGGCAGCCAGGGATGCGTTTGAAGCCCCAGGGTCAGGTCTGCGTCCTGAAGCAGTGCCACTATTAACAAATGACATGGGACCCCTCCCCCTGGAAGAGAGTCCCTGTGCCGTGGGAGGAAGATAGGGCACCAGCAGCCTTTATTTACAGAACAGCTTTAGCTCAGCTCCTCCAAATGTTTAGAAGTTTCACGATTCCTGTGTCACAGAGGAAGGAAACTGAGGAACAGAGCAAAAATGGGATTTTCCCAGCTGTGACTGCTCCGACCATCTGCTGTTTCCCAGAATCTAAGGTAGTTTCAGAGCTCACCAAGAAATCACAGCTCCAATTTGGGGGACTTCACTGACGTCTAGAAGAAAGACTTAGCTAAGCACAGCCCCAGGCTAGACAGGCAGCCCTCCGTTTTTATGTCATTCTATCTCAGAATAGCTTCCAAGTCCGGCTGCTATGGTCTCCTGTAGCCTGTGCGGTCTGGTGTAGGGCCAATAATCAGGCCGTGGAGGGTCTTGCTCCCCTCCCGAGACACCCCCATCCCCCTCCCTGCTTGTCCTAGAGGGAGGAGCTGTTGCGGTTAAGGAAGCTGACCCCCTCACCCTTAGTCTCTGTGACCCAGCTTTGAACCTGGACAGGTCAGACCGGGAAGCAAACCAAAGAACTCACAGCTCCCATCCTGGGCACAGGCAGCATGGAGCAGCACCTGGCGGGATTAGACCCACCTCAGTGCAGCCTGGAGGGCCCCTGGGTCCTCTAACTTCTCAGGGATCTAAGTATACATATAAAGGCAAGGTTAGCAAAAGGAGGTGGAACTGAAATTTTTCGCCTACCGTGTGGCTCTGAGGTTTCTAGAAAATTTCAGATTTTGTGCTCAAGGTAGGGGATTCCTCTACCAATTCCTGGATGTTGGCTGATCATCCCAAGGTAGAGACCCCAGGTCCCCTGGTCCCCCCAGGAAGGAAGGCTATGCCTCCCTCCCTGCAACTCCCATCAGTGCCCTGGGCCCATCGCAGGCGTCTACCCTGTCTTCGTCCTCCTCCCTGGCTCACACTCCATCTCAGCAGCCAGAACCTCTCAGTCCTGAGTTATTTACCTGCTGAGACAGTAAGAGCTTCATAATTAGCTGAGCAACAGCATGGAGGCTTTTATGAGCAGCCAGGCCCCCCACCACACTCTGGTGTCCATAATTGAAATGACCCACGCGAGTGATTAGATTAGGGGGCTGAAGCAGCCCAGTGTGCCACCCCCACCCCCCTCCCCTGTCCTGTTGGGGGGGTGATGTAGTTAAGTTTGTGCTTCATTTGGCAGAGGCCATAAAGCAGGCATTGCAGCGAGGCTTTCTGCAGGGCTGGGGAGGCACTGCTGGGCCGTGGGCGGGCTCTGTGGCTGGTGACAGATTCCAGATATGAGGGGGGAGCTCCTCGCTTGCCCTTTGCCTCGCTGTCTCTGCATCTCCCCCAGCCTAGTGCCAGGCTCCAAAGACCTGGGCCTAGCGGGATTACCAGCCCTGCTCAGTGTCCCTAGGGTCCAGGGCTGCGTGTGGGCAGGCAGCCCCTGATGGGACTCCGCTCCTGGTCACCCTGCTCATCCTCCAGGATGAGAGCTCCAGGCCAAGAGCAAGAGGGTCAAGGTGCTGTCAGCATTCCCTTTTCTCCCCACCTCCCTGCCTAATCTTGGTTTCGCAGCTCTTTCCTGTACAAGCCTTCTTCAGCACCCCTGTCTCCTAACCCTACTGCTTCCCCCCACCCCGGGGAGTGGGTGTGGACACCACGGGGCTTTGGAGTCAGAAACATTTGTTTGTTCTACTAGAGCATGGTTACCCAGAGTTGGCATGGATTTGGTCTCAGTGCAAACCTGAAGGTCTGGTGGAGGCTGCCTGGAGCGCTGTCTCGAGACAGGTTTGGGGGCCCTAGGTGGGCTCTGTGGGAAAGATTGCTGTGATCAGTTGTGATGTCTGCCCCAGGAGAGGGAGGGGAGGAGGAGAGGGGCGCTAGGGGGCCCAGTCGGTTGAGTGTCTGACTTCAGCTCAGGTCAAGATCTCATGGTTCGTGGGTTGTCCCGGGTCGGGCTCTGTGCTGGTGCGTGGAGCCTGGAGTTCTGTGTCTCCCTCTCTCTCTGCCTCTCCCCTGCCCCTGCTCATCCTCTGTCTCTCTCTCTCTCTCTCTCTCTCTCAAAAATAAACATTAAAAAAAATTGTTTTTAAAAAGGAGGAGAAGCAGAGCTAACGTTTACTGAGAGTTTTGTCATGTGCCAAAGAGGGTTCTGGGTGCATGGGTGGTAATATTCTAGGACCCCAAGAATGTCAGCCCCAGTGGGGCAGGGAGTATATCGTGTTCGCTGGTACGTCTCCAGTGCCTGTGGCTGTGCCAAACACGTAAGAATCAATCAATACGGCGATATGGGTTGAGTGAACCGCACCAGGTTCAAATTCCACTCCGCCACCGATTAGCCATGTGATTTGGGGAAGTCATTGAAACTCTGTGCCTTGGTTTCCCCATCTATAAAATATGATTAATATTAAACCTAGCTTACAGCGTTCTTAAGAGAATTAAATGAGTTACTATATGTAAAGTGCTTAGAACAGTGTGCCGCACACGCTAAGTACTCAGTTATGTAATAATTTTTATTGTTAAAGTCAATACCCCCATTTCACAAGTGGTCACCATCACGTATACCTGTGCCAAACTCTCTAACTGATCTCTGTAGGTACTTGCATCAGATAGATAGATAGATAGATAGATAGATAGATAGATAGATAATACTAGGGCTATAGAGATAAATAGATAATACTAGGGCTATTATGAAGATTATATGTACTATGAGATATGTATATATGTGATGAGACCTCGTGGTGTATATAATCCTCATAGTCACCCTACTATTATCATTTGCACTTCACAGTCACACGGGGAGGTTAAGTACATTGCCCCAAATCACTAAGCTAGCGAGTGACAAAGCTAGGGTTCAAATCTAAGCAGTGTGGCTCCAGACTCCATGCTCTTGGGGAGTCTCCTGTGCTCAGGCACACTCTGGCTCCAGAGATTTAACCCTTGACTCTTACTTCTTTCCCCCCCACCCCCCCACCCCTGACTCTCAACCATCACTTCTTAAAAGAGGTTCCTATTTCCTAACTTTAGACGTGGCTACTGTAGAAGATAGGAGTTTGAATTCTAATTCTACCACTCATTAGGTTTACGACCTGGGGCAAGTAACTGAGTTAGCTCAGAACGTCAGGGCTGTTTTTCTTATCTGTAAATTCCGACAAAGGGCTCTTTCACTGAGGTGTTGTGAGGACTGAGTGAGTTAAGATTTATGCACAGTACCTGGCATTAGAGGCATTGAGAATGATAGCAATTATTATTATTATTATTATTATTATTATTCACCACCTTCCCATTGGGCTGTTCCCAGAGCCCAGAGAGGTTATACATATAAGCTATGTAAAGTCTAAACATTTCCTACTCGATGTATAGTCTCTGGATCAGCAGCAGCAGCACGGGAACTGTTAAAATGCAGAATCTTGGGTCCTCTCAGACCTACTGAATCAGGATCTGAATTCTGACCTCATCCCAGAGGATTCGTTTGCCCACTGCAGTGACAGAAGCGTGGATCTAAAGAATGATGATGGTAAAGGGGGACCGGGGTCCCTGGGAGGGAGGCCTCATGGCAGGCCTGGGAGCTGGGGTTCAGGGGCAGCTGAATATCACGCAGAGCCCGCCTCTGCTCCCCAGGCAGCTGGGCCCGCGGGGCACCTGCCAATCACCCCGCTCACTCAGCAATCTGCCCTTCCCACAATCAGAGCAGTCAAGCACCCCCGTGCAGCTGGGCGGCTGAATTATAGGCTGTGGGCAGATGGCGGAGATGGCTCTGTGTGCCATCCAAGGGGAGAAGGGAGTGAAGGGAAAGGAAGGTCCCTTCCACTGCCCTCCTTCCTCTGACAGCAGACACCCTGTTTTCTGGAGAGCCAGTGATGGGACGACCCCTCTCCCCCACGGGGCAAACCACTGAGCACCCTTGCCTGGCGGTGTCATGGCCACATTATCTCAAGGGGCCTCAGCTATGTGAGTCCCTCTTCTCAGGGAGGAGCCTCCTCTCACTAACTAGCCTCTGACGATGTAGCCCTTTCACTCACCCACCCAAAGCTCTGACTCTCCCCCAGAGCTGTGACTCATCAGCACACCAGGCAGAGGTAGACCTGAGACCGGAGGGGCCACAGCACAGTCATCTTTCCTGCGTCCAGAACAAACCCGACACAGAGCACAGGCACACAGGGTGCTAGGCGGGGAACATGCACTCCCCCCCAAAAGCCGAGCTGCAGCGGGTTGAAGCCTTTGTCGTCTTCTGGTATCAAAGCACGAGGGATGAGGATGGGGGAAGGACTCCAGGTGACAGGTAAGCCATGCTGCTGTCCCTGCTCCTTCCCTGTGCCTCCCAGAGGTGCTGGGAGGAGGCATCCCTCGAGCAGAGCCTACGCTCTCTCTTCCCACCCACATCCCAAAGCTGCATGTGGTCTGCTCACTCCGCCACCGTGTCTCAGCCCCGGTTCCTGGGAGGTTTGAAAGCTCTGTTTCCCGGACCTTCCCTCACTGGTGATAATTCAAACATCCATTAGGTTTTATGAGGCACTGCTTCCAGAGCTGCAGGAGATGGCTCTGGGGCTTCACTCTAGGCCTTAGGACTCCCTATGGCCTGCAGATCCTTCTGGCCACTTAGCCCATCTCCCCTGAACACCCTGCCCTCTCACCTTTCAGCCACCATAGCACTCTCCCTGAACTTGACACTGAAGATACCAGGGCAGAACCCAGGCTTGTCATTGTAGCCCAGGCTTGAGGCCCCTTGTTCTGCCCAAAGAGGCAGCATTGCGGGTGTGTGTGTGTGTGTGTGTGTGTGTGTGTGTGTGTGTATGGGTTTACATGCCTATATGCACCTGCATGTGTGCATATGTGTTTGAGGTGGTCACTCAAAGTTGGAGGAGAACCAGACCAGCTCGTTCAAAGCTCTCATTTTTCAGATGAGGCTGGGAGAGGATAATAATAATAAACCCTAGATAATGATAAAGGTGATAGTAATGAGGCTGATTAAAGATAGCCACTCCCTATGGGACACTCACTGTGTGTCACATGACCAATGAGGACTTCCCATAGGGGGTCTAATGTAGTCCTTATGGTAGGATAAATTCATGAATACAGAAACTGAGTCCCAGAGAGGTTAAGTGACTTGCCTAATGCCACACAATGAGTAGGTAAAGACTAGAATTTGAACTCAAGGCTATCTGACGGAGCATCTAGAAGCTTTAGTAGCTGGTGTTTGGTATCTAGTGTCTGGAGAGATGGTGGAGGCAGCGGGTGGCCTCCCTATCACAGGAGCAGTGGCAGAATTAAGTGAGCTCCTGGGGGTGGAAGTTGCAAAGGTAAGGGACTGTTTTCTCAGTGCAGAGCCCAGACGAGAGCTGCAGTTCTTCTTTCCCAAAGCAGTGAGCTTCCCTGGAGGTCCTATCCCGCTGGGACACAGGCCCCTGCCCCAGTGCCCTGGGGTTAGAAGGTACACACAGTGTCTTAGGCTAGACTCCTAAGAACCCTGTGTGCTCCCCTACCCGGGCAAAGAGAAGCAGGTGAAGGATCAGGGGCGGGGTCCAAAATGAGGCTGGAGAAGGTTGGCATGTTGGAGCCCATGACAATCTGTGCTGATCTGGAAAAGTGATAGGGCTGGCTGGGGGCTAGAGTGGAGGACGTGGGGTTTAGTGGGGGGATCGTGTGCCCGGCACTGGAGGAATTCTCCCTCCTTTTTTTTTTTTTTAAGTTCTTATTTAGGGGCGCCTGGGTGGCGCAGTCGGTTAAGCGTCCGACTTCAGCCAGGTCACGATCTCGCGGTCCGTGAGTTCGAGCCCCGCGTCAGGCTCTGGGCTCATGGCTCAGAGCCTGGAGCCTGTTTCCAATTCTGTCTCCCTCTCTCTCTGCCCCTCCCCCGTTCATGCTCTCTCTCTGTCCCAAAAATAAATAAACGTTGAAAAAAAAAATTTAAGTTCTTATTTAAATTCCAGTTAGTTAACATACAGTGTAAATTTAGCTTCAGGTGTCCAATATACTGACTTAACACTTCCATACATCACCCAGTGCTCATCACAACAAGTGCCCTCCTTAATCCCCATCACCTATATGGCCCTCCCCCCACCAGCCTCCCTTCTGGTAACCAGCAGTTTGTTCTCTATAGTTAAGAGTCTATTTCTAGGTTTCTCTCTCTCTCTCTCTTTCCCCTTGCTTGTTTGTTTCTTAAATTCCACATATCAATGAAATCATTTGGTATCTTTCTCTGACTGACTTGTTTTGTTTGGCATAATACTCTCTAGCTCCATCCATGGCACTGCAAATGGCAAGATTTCATTCTTTGTACAGCTGAATAATATTCCACTGGATATATATACCACCTCTTCTTTATCCATTCATCAATTGGTGGACACCTGGGCTCTTTCTATAATTTAGCTATAATAAATAATGCTGCCATAAACATCGAGGTGCATGTATCCCTTTGAATTAGTATTTTTGTATTCTTTGGGTAAATACCTAGTAGCACAATTGCTGGGTCGTAGGGTAGTTCTATTTTTAATTTTGGGGGGAACCTCCATACTGTTTTCCACAGTGGCCACATAAGTTTGCATTCCCACCAACCCAGCAAGAGCATGGGGGAATTCTCTTTTAAGGAAGGTAAAGAAGATGCTGGGGAGAGAGTCACCCAAGCATAAATTCAAATCTTGGCTCCACCACTTAATGGCTTCGTGATGCTGGACAAGTCAAATAATTCTCTGAGCCTGAGTTTGTTCATCTGTAAAATAGGGATTATAAGGTCCAATACCCAGCATGAGGACTTGTGAGGTATATAAGACTTGTCATAGATGCTCAAAAATATGGTCCCTTCCTCTCCCCACACCCTACCAACACTTCCCACTAAGAGACTCTGGACAATTTCCTTTATAATAATAACAGTAGTAACAAAAGTGACTACAACTTCCATTTACTGAGCACTTACTGTGTGATAGACATAACATTAAGCATCCTACTCATATTATCTCATTAACTTCTCCCTAAAACTCTATGCTAGATGCCATCCATCCGTGCTTCCAAGCCCTGGAGAGGTTGACTGACTCATCCAAGGCCCCGGAGCTAGAAAATAGCAGAGCTGACATTCGATCTGAGTCTAGGTTATGCTGTGGTGACACATGACCCCCAAGTCTCAGTGGCTTACAACATGTTGTGTGCCCACTGCCGGCCAGCTCTGGTTCTGGACCATGTCCTCCCTCTGAGACCCAGGCCGGTGGAGCAGCGTCCATCTGGGACATTGTCGGTCGCCTTGGCAGAAGGAAAGCGACAGGGCCTGGAAGACATCTCTGTCTCTTCTGCTCACAATTAACTCATTGTCCCATTGTCCTCCTCATGCACCCACTCAACGACCATGTTGCCAGAAGGACAATCTGTGCAAGAACCCAGAAGAGGGGACAGCCAGAATACTTGGAGCGTAACATTAATTACCACCATACCCGGTTTCTAATCCCTACCCTCGATGGGTTCCCACAGTAGAGTGAGCCTTGATTTCCTCATCTGTAAGGAAGGAATAATAATTCTACCTTTCAGGATGGTCATGCAGACTCTGTGACCCGGTACCCAAGAAACCCAAGCCTGGAAAGACTGAATCATGGAGATTGCGCGCGGGGTTCAGAAATACTCTCGACTGGTCGGTTTAACCTTTATTTGGTGGAATGGCAAATGGTGCTGCGGAATTCAGAGGTTCCCGTGAGACAAGGGACATGCTTTAGAAAGTGCTGCTACTCTCAGAGCTCGTGAAACCACCTTCAGGGGAGCCAGAAGGGAAGGAACGTTTCCAGGATGTCGATCAGAGGCAACAGCAAATGTGATTATGTCAGCAAATGTGCAAAAGTGCTGTACGCTTTTGGAGGACTCTTCATTTAGGACTAATTAAATACTTGGAAGCAGGAAGATTGAAAGGGTCCTCTCTGGGAAGCTACTTAGGCCAGCAAGACACTTCAGGGTCTATTTGCAGCATTTGGAGAGCTCCAGAGGAGGGGGAAGTGGGCGGCTCAACTGGGAACAACACTCAGAAGGAGGAACACGAGGCTATCAGGGACACTGCAGCATGCCCCCACCCCCACCCCAACCTTGGTCTCCCAGGGTCTGAGGTTTGGGTGATGTGAAAAACAGACCTGGGGTTTATGCTGGTTGTTGTGAAGGGGGTTGGGGGGTGCCTGTAGAATGGTGTGTATCCATTTCCTGTTGCTGCTCTAGAGAATTACCCCAAAGTTAATAACACAAATTTGTTAAACAACACAAATTTGTTCTCTTATAGCTCTGCAGGTCAGAAGTCCGAGATCAGTTTCACTGGGTGAAAGTCAAGGTGAAGGCTTCCAGCGGCCACCTGCGCACCTGGGCTCATGGCTCCATCCTCCACCTTCCAAGCTCATCTCTGGTTTCTGCCTCTGCCTCCACATGGCTTTCTCCTATCCTGTCATCACACCTCCTCTGCCTCCTTCTTAGAAGAACGCTCTAGCTTACATGTAGGGCCAACCAGGGTGATTCAGGATAACCTCTCCATCTCAAGATCCTTAACACAATCATATCTACAAACTCCCTTTTGCAAACACTCACAGGTTCCAGGAATTAGGACCTGAGTATCTTCAGGGCCATTACCCAGCCTACCACATGACACATCCGAGATGGGTTGGGAAGCAAAAGGGCAACCATGATCCAGCTGTACCCCACAGATCTCCCATGGGGTCTGAGATAGGGGTATCCTCTAGGTCATGGTGGGACCTCTGTGGCAACCCCAGGAGAGCCCATGACACATCTCTCTTCAGCCATGAGGCAGCACATGATACACAGTGCTACTGAGCAGCAAAGACATGTTATATAATCAGTTAATCCATGTATTAACAAACGTGTGTTCAACACCTACTGTGTTCCGTGGGGGGCGATTCAGACCTAGGGCCCTCCTGGGTTTTCCAACTAGGAGATTCATTCAACAAATACTTATTGAGTCCCTGCTAGGTGTCAGGCACTGTTCTGGGTACTTGGGATATATCAGTAGACAAAACCCCCAAAGCTCCCCGCCCTCAAGGTACTGACATTCTACCAGTGGAGATGGACAATTAGGAATCATCATAAGTCAATCACATAGTATGTTAGGAGGTGATGGGGCTGTGGAACAAAAGACAAAGTGGGGCCAGGTAAGAGGGGTCAGGTGTGCCCAGGTGGGGACAGGGAGGAGAGGGTAGTAAGAAGATTAGTCAGGATAGACCTCATTGAACAGGTGAGCTTTAGGCAAAGACCTGAGGGGGAATTAGCCAAGTGGACATCTGGGAAGAGAGAGCTCCTGGGAGAGCAAAGAGCTAGAGCGAAGGTTCTCAGGTGGAGTGGACAAAGTGATGGGAAGGTCATAGCAGGTGAACACAGGGAACAGGAGCTCGGCGGGCTACCTCTGTGGAGCCAGCCAGGCCAAACCTAAAGAGAAGAGAAGATGGAGTAAAACAAGGTCTCTAAACCCGCTGGTATGGACTCGGGAAAATCCTCTGAACTGGGAGCTAGCTCTGGGGTTGGGAGTTGCATGGCCTTGCTGAAGTCACTTAGCCTCCCTGAGATTCACTTTCCTCACTTACAGACTGAGAAGCTTGTGTGGATTCTCTCACTCCTCCGTTCATTCAGCGGACTCCATCAAGCACAGAGGAGGAGGCCCCAGGCAGATGGGAGACACTGCAGATCCTAAGGTGAGCCTGCTCTCCCTGTCTAGGTCCTTTCTGCTCTACTCTGTGCTGACAGAAGTGAGGGGCTTGGCCTGTAGATGAGAAAGCATAATGGTGGCAGGCCTTGGTATCAATTTGTGAATGTCCTGAAGAATAGCCCTGGGTGGGTGGAAACGTTAGAGAAATACATCTGAGGAGCAAAATAAGAAATATCTCAGCAAAAATGAAATGGTTCTGAAAGGTCTCCTCCTTTGCTTGGAGGTGTGCAAGTAAAAGCTGAGAGCCCTTGGCTGGGGACGCCATAGAGATTTGGGTGCCAGATGGAGGCTGGATTAGATGGTTTCAAAGGCCAAAGGGAGCTCTCTCTGATGTCTCCAACTCTAGAGAATGTTCATACCAAGGCAGGCGTGTCTGCTGGGACGTGTTGAAGACCTTGCTTTAGGCTGATTGCTCTCCCATAAGTGCAAAGTGAGTGAGACAGTGGCCCCTGAAGCAGGAAGGCCATGTGACCTCCTTACCGGATCCTGCATCTCCACTGGGTGCTGTGGGAAGAGGGCTCCATAGCATAGACCTCCTGTGGGGTCTCACTGCCTCTCTCTTACTGGGAGTGAAGCTGGGATTTCTCCTATGCCTGTCCTCTCCCCATTGTCTCATCTGTCTATTGGCTCACACAGGACTACAGTCTCTATGTCACAGAGTCTTTTCTCTCTCCAGTTAGTGGCAGGTCAGGGAGCCCAAATGTTCTCCACTCCAAGACATACATTACTTTACAAGCCACCCAATGGCCAGCTAAGACCCCCTGGGTCACTGCCCAAGAAAGCAACAGACCAGAGCTATGACAGCAGTGGGGCCGTGGCAGTCTGCTCCATGTGTCCCCAGAACCAGGGGAGGGAGCCAAGGATCCCAACACCAGGCCTGGCAGTATCCTTGCTACCTCAGTTGACAGCCACACCCCCAAGGAGGTCAGGAGAGCTCCAGAGCACAGGTGAATTTTGCTAAATAGCCTCATTGTCTTCCCTTTTACCACTGTGGTTCATTCATTTACCCAACAAATATTTATTGAGCATCTATTATGTGATAGGCACTCTCCTAGTTTCAGGGAATTCAACAATCAACAAAACAAATAAAAATCTCTGCCTCTAAAGGACAGTCTCTTCAATAAGTGGTGTTAGAAAAACTTGGGGCGCCTGGGTGGTTCAGGTGGTTAAGCATCCGATTTCTGCTCAGGTCATGATCTCGTGGTTTGTGAGTTCAAGCCCCACATCGGGCGCTGTGCTGATAGCTCAGAGCCTGGAGCCTGCTTCAGATTCTGTGTCTCCCTCTCTCTCTGCCCCTCCTCCTCTCACACTCTGTCTCCCTCTCTTTCTCTCTCTCACTCTCTCTCAAAAATAAATAAATAAACATTAAAAAGAAGAAGAAGAAAATATAGGGAAGAGCTCTTTGATATTGGTCTTGGCAGTTATTTTTTGGATATAACACCAAAAGCACAATCAACAAAAGCCAAACTAAACAAGCAGAGGTACATCAAACTACAAAGCTTCTGTACAGAAAAGGAAACCATTGACAAAATGAAAGGCAACCAACAAAATGGGAGAAAACACCTGCAAACCATATGTCTGATAAGGTTTTCACGTATAAGATAGATAAGGAACTCATGCAACTCAATAGCAAGAAATAATAATAATCTGATTTAAAAATGGGCAAAACACCTGAATAGACATTTCCCCCCAAAAGATATTCAAATGATCAACAGGTACATGAAAAGGTTTTCAACATCACTAATCATCAGAGAAATGCAAGTCTAAACCACAATGAGGTATCACTCCAGGACTGTTAGAATGGCTATTACCAAAAAGATGGATGAAAGAAAGAAAGAAAGAAAGAAAGAAAGAAAGAAAGAAAGAAAGAAAGAAAGAAAAAGAAAGAAAGGAAAGAAAGAAAGAAAGAAAGAAAGAAAGAAAGAAAGAAAGAAAGAAAAGGAAGGAAGGAAGGAAGGAAGGAAGGAAGGAAGGAAGGAAGAAAGAAGGAAAGAAAGAAAGATTTGTGAGAGTGTGGATGAAAGGAAACCCTTTCCTGCAAATTGGTGTAATCATTATGGAAAACAGTATGGAGGTTCCTCAAAACATTAAACATAAATCTACCTATGTCCCACTCCTGAGTGTGTATCTAAAGGAAGTGAAATCACTACATGAAGAGATATCTGCACTCCCATGTTGCTTGCGGCATTATGCACAATGACCAAGATTGGAAACAACGTAAGTGTCCATCAGTGGATGAATGGGTAAAGAAAATATGATCAATACATACACTGAAGTATTTGTTATCCAGCCATTAAAAGAGGAAATCCTGCCATTTTGCAATGTGATGAACTTAGAGGGCATTATGTTAAGTGAAATAAGCCAGATGGGGAAAGACAAATACTGTATGGTATCACTAAATATAGGATTAAAGAAGAAAAGTCAAATTCATGAAGCAGAGAGTACATTGGACGGTGGCTGCCAGGGGCTGGGAGGGCGGGCAGGGAGTGGGGAGACGTTGATCAAAGGTCCAACTTTCAGTTATAAGATGACTATGTTCTGGCATGTGTGGATGGCTCAGTTGATTAAGTGTCCGACTTCGTCTCTGGTCATGATCTCTCGGTTCATGAGTTTGGGTCCCGAGTCAGGCTCTGTGCTGACGACTCAGAGCCTGGAGCCTGCTTCAGATTCTGTGTGTGTGTGTCTCTCTCTGCCCCTTCCCTGCTTGCACTCTGTCTCTGTCTCTCTGTTTCTCTCAAAAATAAATAAACATTAAAAATTTTTATTAAAAAAAGACAAGTTCTGAGGATCTTGCACAGAGCATGGTGATTACAGATAACCATACTGTATTGTATACCTGCAATTTGCTAAGAGAGTGGGTCTTAAGCATTTTCACACAAAGAAAAAGATAAACTATGTGAGGGGTTGGATATGTTCGTTAACTTGATCGTGGTAATCATTTCACAATGCATATGTATATCCAATCACCACTCTGTGCACTTTAAATGTACACAATTTTATTTCTCAATTATACCTCAGTAAAGCTGAGAGAGGAAAAATCCCCACCCTTGTGGAGCTCACATTCTAGCAGGGGAAACAGATAATAAACAAGATAAATAAACTGAGCATGCAGCGTGTGAGAAGTGCGCGGAAGGAATATAGGGAGCAAGGCGGGTGTATGTGAGACAGGGTGGTCAGAGAAGGTCTCGCTGGGAAGGTGACGTGGGAAGCAGGTGAGGGCAGCCAGGCTCACACACAAGCTATTGCTCTCTGGCTCTCGCCTCCCCTCTTCCCAGGCTGGTGGCAAGCTGCTGGGAACCCACCCCTTTCAGGTTCTATTGCTGTATTTAACTCTTTTAGGGTGTTCACAAGCCATTACCTCTTTTATTTATTAATTCTATTGATCCCTTTTGTTGTAATGGGAAGGAAACTAATAGCTTCTGAGCCTATGCTGTGTCCTGGGCCCTGGGT